ATAAGAAGAGGTCTTTTAACCCTATGCATTGGATTGTCCTGTATTATGATGCCAATTGCCAATATAAAATGTATTTGATGTATGTCTTTATTACTGTTGCTCTCAATGGTGTCAGATAAAAAAAAAAGTGGTGAGTGGCAGGGGAATTGTTCTGTGTAATCACTAATAAAAAAAAAAGGAATTAAAGTGGACAACCAAGAAAATATCATCATTATTTTGAAGGAAGAAGTTTAACAGAAAATTCAGGAAGAAAGAAAGTTTGGGAAGAACTAAACTTGGAAAATATCTTTGCACAGAAATTCATAAGAAAAAATAAATGAAAGAGTTTTTAGTATATCAAGGTGTTTTTAGAAAGTAGTAACAACAGTGCAAATGACAAAAAAAACCCCATACAAATAATTTTAACAACAACATCATCACAAGATACACACTTAAGGATACTTAGTGCTTGAACATATAGCTCTTGTGGGAAATTACACACTGGAGTTGCTGCCAATAATGCCCTCTTCTGGTGATGCTATTGCAGCTAAGGCGATGTGTCAGTCATCTCAGGACCCTGCATCTTCAGCGTGCAGGGCGAATTCGGCTGTAGACAGGGAGAGACTTTTATCTGAGTTAAATGTCACAACCCCTTTCTTTCCCCTGTTAGTTCCAAAGACTAGCTGTAGGTAAATTATTTTAATAAGGTAAGAGATACCACAGTACAGTTTTCTTTCCTTCCTTTTTTTTTTCTCTTACCCCAAATAATGCTCTCTATGTCATCTGTATATTTATGATAGCTCAAAGACATGGGTGTGTGGATCTAATTAAAAATGTGAAAGGGTTTAGCAGCCTGCTGCTTCCCTGTGAGTCTCTTGTTGCCAACTCTTGGCAGCTCTGCTGTCACTGAGCCAAATGTTTAGTCTTCAGCTGAACTACTGCCAGTGAGCTGCGCTGCATTCTGGGACCACAGAGCCTCAAGGTACCGTGTTAAACTATCTCACATAAGGATGTGCAGTGAGCTGGACTTCATATTCAATCACCCAAAAGAAAAGTGAAAGAGAAAGCCTACTTTTGCCTGGTGAGCCTTAACGGTGTATAAGACACAATGACCAAATCCTCCAGGATTTTGCAACAGGGAAAACAAATAGTTTATTGAGGTGGATCAACCCATGCATTTGTTTTATCTGCCTATGCAGCAATGGCAGTAGTTTTATTTAGCAAATTTAGTTTAAATCAATCTACTCTGGATTGGGAATTTTAAAAAGAAATAGCAAAACCCTGGCTTTCTGCAGTGTGTCTCTGGCCTTCATGTAAATTCCTCATGTGAAACAAATTTATTCCAACTAAACTCCAGGTATCCTTAGCAAGTATGGGGAAGTTTGGTACAGAAAAAAAAAAATTGGCATATGTGCATTCCAGCCAGCAGCAGGAAAGCTATGTTGATAGAAACGTGCTTAGCACAGTTGTATTGCTTAATAAATTCAGGTATAATGTGGAGATAGATGGGGTTAGAGGCTAAGCTGGCCTGTAGGCTTTGATCAGTGCTCCAACTCACTTAGGGCTTAAAGTGGACTGGAAGAATTGCCAGGTCTCATGAGTCAATGATGGATTTCCAGCAGATCAGAATTAAATTCTGCTTTTAGCTGTTCTCCCTGCACTCTTTTCTGCAAGGGAAATTACTTCTGCCAACAGCAAAGTAGTGTGTGTGTCTTCATGATATTTCTTTCTCTTTTCTATTTATCCACTGTCCCATTTCTATATTTTGTTATCATGCATTTCTCCCTTGCCTTGCCTTGCCTTGCCTTGCCTTGCCTTGCCTTGCCTTGCCTTGCCTTGCCTTGCCTTGCCTTCCCTTCCCTTCCCTTCCCTTCCCTTCCCTTCATTTGCACTCCTCTCCAAGTATTTTTTCTTCATCTGCCTGGACTTCACATCACCCTTTTCTTTCTCTAAAGTTTTACTACCCTTCTCTACATCTTCCCTTCACAATTGTAATGTTCTACCTGAGAGAATGAATGAGCCACCACTGATGTTAGTTCAGGGACTTAGCAGACACTTTATTCCTGAAAATATTTTCTTTGTAAGTTTTTGAAACCAGCACAATGGCAAAACAACAACAAGGTGCTGCCGATTGCACTGTTTCTCCAACTCTTAATGCTGGGTATTTAAGAATAAAACTACAGTAAAAAATGTTGGCTTAATATCAAAAACTTGTCTGCGTTCATTCATAATCCTAAGTATAGATTAGACACACAGCACTAAAGAGGCAGAGAGAGAAGAAAAAAAAACAAAGATTTACACTAATGATCACGCATTTTTTTGCAAAAAGGCATTTAAAGAAATAGAAGTGGGCACAAGTGTGCAACACACCTGAACTCTACCTCTTTGATCTCTCCTCTTGGGTCCTTTTTGTTGCAGTGGGCCAGCTCTGGGAAGGAGGTAGGACTCAGAAGCCGCTTGGCATCCAGCCCAGGCTTTGTGGGCCACTGGAGAGATGGATAGCTAGGTGCAGAAGTGCCCTGAGGCAGGTGTTAAAATGTTGTTCTTAGTTCCTTGGTGGTAATCATTGCAAAACAATCCTGTCTGCTCTATTCGTATCAACAAGCTGCTTTCCATGGCTCGTTGCTAAGAGACAGGACTGTTGCTTACAAGTTGCTTATTGCCTTAGACTTTCATAATTTATAATTTATTATCTTAGCATAAAGATTTGTTGGGTTTTTTTGTTTTATTTTTCCACCAACCCAGTAATTGTTACATAAAACGAAGGTCATGTATCTACCAGAGTAGCAGTTGCTCTTATAATATACTTTGCCTTTGTATGGTTTTGGTTCTGTGAAAGGAAAATGCTATTATAAACTGAAGATGAATATCATTTTTGTCCATTAACTTCTTGCATTATAAGACTGATTAGGTCAATGGATTCCCTCAAGATTTCTTTACTATTGAAAACATTTTTCTATCCATCCAAAAAGGAAATGAATTGAAATTATTTCAATTATGACACGAAACATGTCGGCTCTTCTTGCTCTACCTCAGCACCTAATAGTTTAACTCAACAATCCTACTTTCCCAAAGTTAGTTGTAAAGACATTTAACCAATTCCAGAAATTACTTTTGTGCATTTCTCTAGTTTTGTGAATATACAAACCTTACCTTGCTGAAGTGTTTTTTACTAAACACTGATTATATCAGCTTAGTGAGGAGTAATGCCAAAGAGGAAATGAGAATAATTTGCAGACTTGTTAAGTTGCAAAATAATTCTGTCATGGTTCACCAGTTTAAAGAAAAAAAATAAAAAAAAAGAAAAAAAAGGAAAAAAATCGTATTAAAGAACTTATTATTATACTCCCTGGTGTAAATTAAGGATACTGACATGGGGTAAGGTTTTACTTTACTGTTAAACAGGAAAGATGTTCATACAGCTGATGGTGTGGTATTAAACTGAAACATATCCAAGAGCTCCACAAGTACAAAACACTGCTACAGTTGATGCTTTAGAAAAATGGAGGCAAAGTTACTTTTGCCCCATCATGTCAGTGAACTGTTTATGCCAGTTAGAACCAAGAACTTCATCAAAGAAAGCTGTAGAAATGGCTCTGGAAATGGCTTGGTGCAGATAGTGCTCCCACTGCAAAGATTTTGAGGGAGTGCCTACCCAGCAAAATAAAGGTGTGTTGCCAGCATACCTGACCTTTTTCCATCCAGCAACAACAGTGAATTTAGGCTTGCAAGCACAGGGCAATACAGCCAGGGCTAAGGCATGTATCACCACACCTTGCTGTCCTAGCTAACTAATGTAAACAAAATTGTGTGAATGTCTCCTATGGTGACACCTACATTTTATGCTGGAGGAGTATTCTTGAGTAATTCCTGTTTAGTTATGCAAGAAAAGTGTATTTTAGTCAGTCTAAATGCATTCTGGAGCTGGGCCTCTAACCAGTGAAGGTTATTCATGGAGCAGCCATGATCACTCAAAAGCCCATCCAATCTACAACCAGAAATTTTCCATGACTTCTAGTAGTCCATAAGAAATTTAGTTCCTCTCAATAGTGTGATGAAAGATACTGCCTTCACTTCAGGAAGAGAATGCAGATACAGCTTAAATAAATGGGATGCTGAAAACGTGTGTTCCTGAAATCCTCTGAAATCCTGCTTATTAGTTCTAATGTATCTCCCCCTCATACAGTTACTTATGTAAAATGGGATCCAAAACAACATAAAAGAAGTCAGTGAATTGGTATTCTGTTACTTGTAGAGTTTGAGTGACACGGTGTTAACTTGAGGAATCTGGGTGAGGAGAACATCCTCCTCTTATCTTCTTTGTTTATGAGTATCTTTGGCAATAATACCTCACTTTCTACAAAAAAGGGGTAATTTATATGCATGCAAGTGTAATGGTATGATCCATACCTCCTTTATATAAGTTCATGTTACTTAATTATTTCTGCTGCAACCATTGACTCAAACATCAGAAGAGATGAATAGGGAGGAGGAATATAATTTATGCATTGACCTTCCAAGAAGGGAACTCTTGTTGATTCTATACATACATCACAATTCTCCACAGAACCAGCTTGAACATATTTAGTGAAAGGAAAAGGTGGACTCACATGCTAAGGAACAGCTGTGCTACATGAAATTTTGACAAAAATTGTCCTTCAAAACCAATATGTATTTATCCTACTTTGAAGGGGTTGGTGGAGGAGGATATAATCAAATGGCAATAGCTGCTCACTGTTTCTTAGATAACATGAACTGGAAAATGCATCAACAGTAATATGTCTACAGACGGTGACTTGACCTTCTGAAAGAGTTCCTAAAATCTGTGAAGGAGGATTTTTGGATTTTAAACTCTTATGCTTGTTGGGAATAGAAACAGATTTATAGTTGGCTGCTATGTTAAGGTTCTTGGGTGAGCAATAGGCACCAAATGTTTGGAAGTCATTGTGCAAGCACAAAAGAAATAAGCTGCAGAATGTGTTGTTAAGTGGCAAATCTACAATTTTAATCCTTAGGTGAAGTTTGGTGAGAGAAAGAATCAGAGATTGGATCTTATGACCAATTCTTCTGGAATGCACATGTGGAAAATATCCAAATATTCTTGAGGGGCAGTCTTCACTTGTTCCCTCAGGTATGTCAAGTCCATAGTCTAATCTTGAGGTTCATGTGTGGGGCTCTGTCAGAAATCTGATTAATTATTGTATCATAAAAAATCAATGCATGTTCAACAGGCTAGATCCTGGGTTTCAGAGAGGAAGGGTTGATGGATCATTATCTAGGTACAGTATTAGGTTCACTTGTATTTTATCAGGACAGCAGTAACTGGTCAAATAAGTCATGTGAACTTGTTAGACAAAATAACCATAAAAAAGTGAAAATACCCTGAGATTTCAGCAGGTCAGTTAGAAGCTATTAATGCTTTTTAAATGGGGGACTGGGAGGTGGAGGGAAGGGGAGGAAGATTCTTTTGCATTTGTTTGGGGGTTTTCCCCCTCAATCTAAGTTAAATCTTTCTCTGTTTAGACAAAAAACTCAGTAAAATCTAGGGAGGGGATATTGGTCTGAAGGGCTATAGCACAAACATGCTACTGTGTCAAGAAAGCCCTCCTGGCAGATTACAACTTTTGGTGAACAGAGGAAATGTTTTTCTCTTGGTTTTGGATGATCTGCTTTCACAAGCAACTAGTATTTTTTATCACAAACAAATAAAAACTTGTGATTTCAAAAGAGTTTAAAATAGAAGCATTTGTTGGAAGGTTTGCTTTAATGCATTAACAAAACAAAACTGAAAAGATAAAGCTCATCAGAAATCAGTTTCTTAATTACCTGATTAATTTGTCTCAGGGGTTACTGGAGCTCTCCTGAGAAGATACAGGGTCCTGGGCCACCCAGCAGCAGCTCAACATCTTGAATGCTCAGGCCCCTCATCAGGGAAAAGCCTGAAGAATGAGAGGGAGGGCTCTTCACTGCTCCCCTCTCAGGCAAAATGCCCACTGAATTCAATAGGATTTTTGCATGAGTAAGTCAAGCAGGATTTGGCTCTGGAAGGACATAACAAGATTGAGCAGACTTGGTTCCCAGTAATGGCATCCCATTGTGCTGTGGTATGGTGGAACACGCAGTGCTGGAGTGCATTCTGTCAGTGCCTCTGTCTTCCAGAGGATATTGTAATGTCTCATTATTGTGAACTAGAAGAAAGGGATCTTGTAGAATTAGAACTGGAGATTATTGTAGGGTTTTCAGAAGTACAAAAAAAGAAAAGCCAAGAAATGTAGTATTATGAACACAGGATATTAATAGCTTACTTTTGCTTTGTGAAATGTCTTTAATTCCAAGTATATTGAGGCAGATGACATGTTTGTCAGCGATGCCTAGTGGCTCCATTCTAACTTATGGATACATTACCAAAAGTCTGTCTAAAAAGCCTAGCTTGTGAGTTGCTGATTGTCTCCTGAGAGTATCTAAATTATTTACTTCTCCCTGATCTTATTGGCTCTAAAAAGCTGGTGTCTTGTGTTGGATTTGTGAAGTGAGGCATCTGAAACAGGCCTTGAAAAGCATCCTGAGAACCTGGCTTTGGCAGCAGGGTGAAGTCTGGTATTTTCCCTGGCTCAGGTCTGTGCATTCCTATTGGTGGACACTGGACACTTGATCACAGCATGGCACAGTCACTGTGTTCTAGGGTGATCCAAGCTCAGGTCAGCCACAAATTCCACATGTCTTGCAACGTGCAATGTCCCAGCCATTTCTGGAAGAGCTGGGATAGGTGACATGAACCACAGGTTTTGCATGCTATGTGAGCATGCCCTGCCCATCCATGGAGTGGACTGCCCTGTGCTTTGGGCACATGCCAGGGAGTAGCTCAGGCCATGCTCACTCCTGTGTGACTCAAACTTTACACCCACTCAAAGGCTTTTGTCCATGTGATAGAAGGTGAATAAGAACATAGGCTGGAAATTGAGTGAATAAATATTTGCTCAGAATATGTTTTATGCATGTCCAGTTTGCACCTACAAACACACCAGTGTCACTAGATGTACAAATTCCAGACCAAATCTTTCCCAAATCCTGGGTATTATGGTGTTTGCTCTAGACTTTAAAGAGATACTTACTGAAGAATGTGTCTGATTTTGCTAGGTCACCTTTGTACAAATGGGAACAGGTACCAGATGAAGGGGTGTTTTTGGAAGGCATCAGGTGTGTCCATGACCTCACCTCAACTGTGGCCATCCTCACCTGGTGTTCCCATTATCTAAACAAAGTCCAACAGCCACAAGAGTTGCACAAGCCCTCAGGAAGCTGGAACTTGCCTGTAAGAAATATCTCTGAGTGCTGTAGTCAGAGAAAAGGAGTGATCCATGGGGTTTTTTATGTCACCCAGATAAAAACAAAAAGCAATGGTTGTCCTGTCTGGGGTGTTTGTCCATTGATACAGTGCCTGCTGTTTTCTGCTTGAAAAGAATTCCATGTGTAGGTCCTTTGACATGCAGAAAGAATATTTTTGGAAAAGTATTCTAAAAAGTGATTTATACAGAGTTTATATGGGATGTGTGCGTGTGTGCGTACACATACACAAGTAAAATATTGGTAAGCTGAAGCATGGAAAGTATCAAGTACACAGCAAAAACCTCAAGGGTCAGTATGACTTACTGATATTATCTAAAAATGCAACTATTTCTGTATTTACAGAGTCACTGAAGCTGTCAGTGGTACCTGGAAGGCGTAGCATGAACTTTTATTTAATACAGACCTGCCTCTGATGTGCATTATTAATTGATATTTATAAAGAAGTGCATTAAGAGTTATCTGGGTATAGGCAGTACTGTAAAGCTATAAATATATTTAGCTAAATTTTATTGTTCCTTAAGATCAGTCACCAGAGACAGAGAATGATATATATTTGATATGAATAACATCTGTATTTGTGTCTAAATAGAGGAGGAAATGCATCTGTCTTTAGTAGATGTCTCTTTTTAATGTTTCAGCCTGCAAGAAATGCACATTAATAGCGGCTTCTTCCCTGAGGAAGGTTTTGAACTGGAGTACTTGAGAAGAAACTTACAACAGAGCAGCCTAAAGTGCCACCCAGTCCCTTTTAATTAGCACATGTAAGTCCCCCAACATGCAAGATATGATTGAGACTTTCTGCCATTTCATTTTAATATCAGTGTTATATGCTAACGTTTGTCAGACTAAGCTAAAAAACCACTTCTTTTTATGTTGTTTCCCACATGCAGAGCAGACCTCTTACATTTTTGTTGGCTGCTAACGTACTAAGCGTTTTTTGGCAGCATGCGGTTCTGGATTGAAGCCATGCATGCAAGTCTTCCACAGTAAGTATGGCCCAAAGGATTAAAGATCAATGGATTTAGTTATCTGGTGAAGTTCCCCTGCCTCTCTGGTGCTATTAAAAGGTTTTGCTATTGTAACGAGCACCAGAACTTTTCATTTTAAACTTGCCCAACTGAGCCTTCCACTTAGGCTGCAAAGTGTAAGAAAGTTACTGGACTTCTGCAGGCAGATTTACTGTCATGCCACTGAAATGAAAGTCCAAGTAAAACCCCTAAAAAATATTTCATACATTGGAAGAAAAATTGTTCATAAATGAGGAAAAAAACAACACTGCAATGTGCTTTCTCAGTGTAATCAAAATATGCTGTCTTAGAGAAAATTGCCTTCTAATTAGCTTATAATCAAATCCTGAGAAATGGGGCAGAGACTTTTAGGAAAAGTCTGATGCCTGAAGCACTGCCAACCTGAGTAAAAGGAATCTTCAGTCCCAGGAGCTCAGGGGCATCCAAGCCACAGACCTGGCCCACAGCTGGGCTTCTGCTGGCTGTTGGCTGCAGACTAGTGGACACTGCTCCTTGCTCCCCACTCTGACGCTGACTCTGAAGCTTTTGTGTGCTGTCCAAAGCTACTGATTTGGGCCCCAGAACACCTACTTCCTCCCCCTTTCCCTCCACAAGGAAATGCGAACAGCTGCCACAGAGACTTTCTCTGCTGTGCATGTGTAGAGATTCCTCCTGTGTTTGGCATCCCTGCACTAGAGAAATCATCATAAAGCCCTTCAGGATTTGGCCTATGCTGTGTGGGAATATCCTGACTTTCAAGTTTGAGGGACTAAGTAGTTTTTCATTTTCTTATTTTTAAACATGGGACTTCCCAAACAGAGAAAAATTCATAACCCAGCTGATATAACATTGCTCTTGTTAATCTGAGCAGAATAAGCCATTCCAGGGACTTGCCCTCCTAATGGACATAGTAGATAAAAAAACAGCTCAAGTTTGGGTCCACTCTGTGTGTGCAGGGAGTGGAAGGTGAGCAGGAACTGTTCCACACTTTCCCACTATCTTTGCCCAGGCTTCAGTACAGATTCAGGCTCTGGTCCTGTAGTTACTAAACTTTATAGGGCTCTCTAAGAACCTTTATAATGACTACAAGAAGGGAAATTAGAGGAATAAAATTATGGAAGAACAAATTCAACCTTCCCACCTTTTTATTAGCGAGTTGCAAACAATGACATATACCACACTGTCATGAGTGGCTGGTAAAAGCTGATAAAAACCCAGAGAGAGTCAGCAGGACAGATTCCAGCTTTAGCCATAGGTTAACACAGCATTAATTTTCTGTGTTCAGAGCTGTATCTTGTATTGCACTGTGTATTTATGAAATTCTTTTAAGCTGAAGTGACCCACACACATCTGATCAGCCCCAAATCATACCAAGGTGGCCCTCCTAGCACACAGTTAAAGCAAGAATCACCAACAGCAAAGACTTCACAGCTGTTAACCCAAAGTCTTACTGGGGTGACAGCCACTCTAGCTCAAACACTAGCATCTTTGGCACCTCAAAGTAGAACATAAACCTGCCAAATGAAGGACAGGATAAAAGAGAGTGGAAGAGGGCACTGTCCTGAAAAGATGATCTGGTTTTGCTAAAAAGCTAGCTGCTGATTTCAGGATTTTGCTATCCATGAAAAATGTCCTCAATTGCTAACTGTCCTAAAAAGCTCTTCAAACTAGTCAGTGTGCCCAGAAACAGACTTTCAGGCTACCAGGCTCCCCAGGGAAGCCACATACTTCTATATTGCAGGGAACAAAATCTAAATGTACTCTTCTTAAGGGCAGCCAGATAAAATAAGAGCTAATCCAAACACCAAAACAAATCCAAAACCTTTGAGAGAGTGGAGATAAATAGTTTCTAAGTTATCCATGTGAAGTATCATCCAGGCATAAAAAGCTCATCTAACTTTGCTGCTGTTCTAAAGTCTTAAAAAATCCCTTCCTGCAAGTATCTACCATTTTGAGATGATACAGATACTTTGGAGCTTCCATTCACACAAGCAGAAATTTTTGAGCCTTACTCAATGTGAATAGTTAAAACTTCCCCAGTTTTAGAGGCTCACCCTTCAATTTTTTAATGTGCTTCTAGTTCTACCTATTTATCAACAACCCCGAATTCCCACCCAAAAGTTTCATATTCATTTCCAGTTTCAGATATTCTGAAGCTCTGAAAATTGCTACCCATGTAAATCTTTCATAGCTGGAGTGCACTGAAAGTTTTCCCTGTTAGCGTCTGCTACTGAAGATGGTTTGAAGCTGGGAACAAATGGGGATCAGAACTTTCTCAACGTTGTAGCTGGTGTGTGTTTGAAGTTTACCCCAATGCAGTAGATGTAGGAGCCAGACAAATACATCAGATCTGAATGCTGCCTGCTTTGGGGGAGCCACTGTGTCCTGAAGTCTCTCTTCCCATCCATGACCCTTTCCCATTTGTGATTCCATTCCTAAGGCAGCACCCAGCCCAACACACTGTTCTCATTGTCAGCATCTGCAGGTGTCTCCAGGTGAAGCTTATTTTGATTTTTTGTGTGTGTGTTCTCTTCTACTTCATTCCTATTTTAAAAACAATAATACTCTTTATTTTATAATCTTTCAAACAATCTTATTGAACTATTAGGTTTAGCCTTCCCTAATTGAGCTCACATACACCTATGTTTACATTTTTGTGGGTTTTCTATGTGTTTGCCCATTTCTTCTTGCTTTTTTTATTTGCTTTTAGTGGTCTCAGAGTCCTAAACCATGCAGACAGACTTAAGAGATGTGCAGCACTGACAGGGACTGCAGAGGAAAAGGAAACCCAGCCAATTTCAGCCTCTCTGCCACTTGCATCAGAGCAAGAGTGGTTAGAGGAAGAAGTGTAGATTTAAGGCCATGATGTACGTGGTGGCTTAAAAGTAAGGTTATTACATCATGTGTGCCATCATAAAACATCCACCCATTTCCTCAGAAAAGTGGGAAAAATATATTTTAAAAAATAAAATATAGTGTTCTGTAAGAGCCAACGATTTAATAAAAAAAAAAGGCTTGTCTGGTCCTTTACTAAATTACATTAACAAGTTTCACTTTTCTTTGTTTCTTTCTTACCAGTTGGGGAATTGTGTTTAATTTAAAATATTTCTCAACAGCTTACAAAGAAAACAAGTCTAGAAGCAAATGTCCTAAGTTATTTTCTTCTGTTAAATGACTCATACTGATATTGTTCTCAGTCTATGTTTATATGTTAATGCAATCATACATATGTCCTTCCCCTGATTTCCTAGCATGTATTCTTTCACTACTCTTCTTGTAGCACTCCCCAAAGGTTTGCCTGTATCAGTCCACAGTGACTGATTTACACACCAGAAAGTCTCTGAAAGCATAAAGATGCATCATGCATAGTAGTGCCTCAGTTTAAAGCAGGGACCAGCACAAATTAATTCCCATGATATTTATGGGAACTTAAACATAGAAGGGCAGAGAGTTAAAAAAAGGGATGCTCCCCAGCAGGCAGGGAGACTGCTGGCTAAAACTCTCCCTTGGATGAAATCTCACCAGGAAAGTGTTTGGAGCCTAACCCCAGAGTTTACGCGCCAAGCTCTTCAGTCTGGTGCTATTCTAGATGTACCAGTTCAATCTGTGGCAGTGCGTGACTCAGCCAGACCTCACACAGCTGAACTGAGCTTGGAAGCCTCAGCCTATGAATTCCTGGGTTAGACTTCACTTTCTCTGCCTGTTTTCTATTAGCTCTGTGGGTTTTCAGGCTTTTATGGCAATCCTCTGACTGAAAATTACTGCTGCCCAAGACAGCCTGACTGCCAACAAGGTTGCAAACACAGAAGATCTTTTTCAGTAATTCTTTGGGCCATGAAAGGTTGGTTATTTCCAAACTTTTCATTAAATGTACATTTCTGAAAGCTTAAACGTTAATTTCCATACGCTCTTCTCTCTCTTTTTCTCTCTCCCTCTCACTCTCCTTTTTAAGCTGACATCAAGAATTCAGGCACAGAAACAGAGAGAGAGAGAGGGAGGGAGGGAGTAAAATTATATTTTTCATGTAACTCTACTGAAGTCAAAGAACTCACACTAAGGAAAATCTGGGGCTGCTCTGTTTATTTTCTTACTCTTGGTTTGCTTAATTTCATGCCACTTAAAATTACATTTAATTGCAGCAGTTCTCTATTTCATTTTCAGTTGTGCTCTTTTCCCAGCATGTTCCCCAGGACATTGGAAGAAGAGAAAAGCTGAATCAGTTTGGAAAAACATAAATATTTCTGAACGTGTGGACAGTTCTCACTTCTCATGTGTGGGAGGAATATTTCACTGCCCTCCTACCCATCACTCAAATGTCCCGATCAAGTTATTGAAATAAATTATCTTAAAGAATAATTATCTGACAAGAATTCTTTTCCTGTCTCAAAAAGCACATCTACTACCCTATAAGCTTTTTTACCTACATAGCTTACACACAGGCTGATTTCAATAAATAAACTGGATGATGCCTAAATCCTCTGAGGCACTTACTCTTCAGCTCTCAATAGATCTGAAGTTGTTTTACTGGCAAATAAAAGTGTTCCCTCAAAACTCTCACTCTGGTCTAGTTGCATTTTTGAAACAACAGCTTGTACCAATGAAACATTTTTACTCTGGAAGACAAGGCCCTGACATGTGGCCAGCTCCACCTGGGCCGGGGGAAACACAGATCGAGGATTTTGCTAAAAAGCCTCTTGCTGAGGTTCCTTGGCACTCATCAGCACAGCCTCTTGGACCACATTCACTCTTACTTTCATTTCCAAATTCAGTAGGTACTCACACAGTGGAGCTTAATTCTCTTGAAATTCATGGCCAGTGAATTTCAAAGTCACACGTAGGCATTCACATGCATGAGTAGTCACAAAGGAGATTGCTCATGGACCAAAGAGTGAAACCCTGCCACGTGACTTAGGGAAGCACTCATAACTCAGTTACACATCTTGAATGCTGTATATGGAATATTTGGAGACAGCTGTTCATGATTAACCCAGAAAGGTTTTAAAATATTTACATTCTTCCTTGTGGCACTCATTCAGCAAGGTACTCAGGCATATGTGTAACTAAGCAAATAAATAGCAGAGCATGGTAGGAAAGCACAGTGAGAGGAATAACTGAGATGCTTTATTCCTTCTGTCAATGGATATCCCCTCTCAACTGATAGATGGAAATAAATTTGAGTATAAAAACCCACACCCACACAGGTAAGGAGAGGACACTGGTCTGGAAGTGGACTGTTGTGACCTGTTCATGTAACAGTACTGGTTCTAAGAAATGTGGAAAAAAATCACACAAGAGAATAGAAAGCACATGGGATAATTTTTGAAAGGAATCCCAGTTGAATATATTGTTAATGTCAAAACCCTTTGTTGCAAGTAAGTTTTGCTTCTGGATTTTTCATGAGCAGGAAAAAAATGATACATTCATTGGATGATTTATGCATTTCAAATTATTTGCTCAGCTCACAACAGAATGAATTGATACACTGCAGAAATCCATATTACATCTATTTCACCTTCTTTTAGCTTTGAGGCTATATGGCAAAACAGCTTTGCTTAATGCTATATTCATGTGTCCTATGAGAGAATAACTGCTTTTTTGTACTTTTTCTGCATTTGTATATTCATTAAAGACACACACGAACACACAGAAGCACTGAAATATGAAGAGAACCCCAAAAGCCAAGGAAGCTGAGTTGGAGCATATTTCTGAATTTGTTTGCAAACCTGTGACAGTGAACAACTCTCAAAAAAATAATACTGCTGGATGAGACTGCAAAGTTTTGGGGAAGTTCTTTGAACACATGTAAACATGATATGTGTAGGCAAATGTTTAACTTGCCTTTTTTACTTCTACAAATTATATTATGAAATCAGATGTCTCTGACTTCTTAGGAATGTCAAATCAATGTATTCCTTCAAAACAGATAATTGCAGGGAACTGCTCTGCTTCTCTGCTTCTATAGTTTTGATTGTTCCACTTTTAGACTGATAATGATCAGATGCTTCAGTTGTTTTAGCAGTTCATTTACATAATACAGGTAGTTTGGGAAACATCACCTGCAGCCCCAAATGTAGTGTGTTAGACACTGCAGACTGAACAAAAAAGAAACAAACACATTGAGTTTATGCAACTGGAGGACAGAGACAAGTCTTGTGCTTTCATTCACTGCCCTTTGATCACAGGGACCTACATTTTAATCCATCCCAGGCAGAATCATGGAAAATGTATTTGATCTGATAGCTGTATCAGCGCTACTTTAATACGCTTCTTTCTCAGATTCAGGATTGAAGCATCTAGATTTAAAATGTCCTTCTGCTGCCAAAAGAGATTGAATTTGACAGATGAGGATTTATGAGTGCTGCTCACATGTGGCAGAGGTCACCTCATATGGTCACTCCTATATTGTTCCTACGAGAGAAGGCACTGTAGTGGTTTGGAAGCAGTAATAGGAAAGATATAGTGTGTGTCTTGTTACCACACACATAATTAGGATCTTAATGAGAAGCTTTCTATTAACATTGTATTAAGGCTAGTGACCTAGAGTGATACAAAGTCAATGGACCCATTACATTTCGTGCCATACTGTACAAAGTCCCACTGAGAGACACAGAATATTGAAGGACCGTCCATACGATGCCCTCAGGGTCTATTCTCTCTTTGATGCATATGTATAACTCTCATTAATGTTAATAGAAGTTACTCCTGAATAGCTGGGGGAGAACAGATCCTCTGTTTAATATGAAAGTGTACTAAGAGGAGATTCCACAGGAGCTTTGGGATCCCAAACAATGTCAATGCAGTTATGACAAATCAATAGGTGAGCAGCAAGTGAAATCAGCTGCACATAGTCCATATTGTGTGACCAAAATACATTGGACAGAAAATGCTACCCTCTTCCAAACCTCCCCAAAGGAGATCTATGGTATATTTTACAATGGAGACCACCTAAGCAAAAACTGTCATATTCTTTGTTCATCCCTTCCTCTTATGTAATATGCTCAGGAAATTATACTCATTATATAGACAAGAAACCACCTCATCTAACTTTCATAGACTAAAGATCAGTTTAATCTACTTTTCTAGACTCCTTTTATGATTCACAGGGTCCATAAGCCACCTAAAGAAGATAATAAATTCAGATTGTGTTAAGACAAGATGATTCAGCCTCTAGGGGTACAAATTTCCCCCTGCTGGCTGCACAGGAAGCGTACACTCAACTGACTCATATAACATGAGATGCAACCACTTTGTGGTCCTAAAATACTTATGTAGCTGCATGAGGTCCTCAGCCTTGGTTTTCAAGGATCAGTCCAGCTTCTCTATCCACCTTAGTGCTTTCCTTTCTTGACAGACAATGACTCTAGGTCTCTGGCAGACTTACTGTCTTTGCAAATGTAGAGTTTTCATGAAAAATAACCTCTGTGATGCTCAGCAGGTTTTTTCTTTGAGAGCAGCATATTCTCTGTGCAACAGTAAAACATTGCTGCAGAGGCGCTGCCTGGCACATGTACAATTATAATCATTCTCTATATGGATACCATGATGCAATGGTTTGGATTATTTTAATTCAAGATTATAAAAGATCCCAACATCTACCTAAAGTCTCTTTCTGAAACCCCTGGGCAGGCCCTCTATGACTGCCAAGGACCTGGAAGAGCAGGGGCAAGGCAAGAGGGACGGTGTGGGGTGGGCAGTCCCACTGCATGCCAGCAAGGAGAAAAGAGCAGATCCAGGGATGGTCACTGGTTCAACCCATGTCCAGTGACCATCCTTGAGTCTATAGAGGTGAGGCAGGTCCCAAGTCAAGCCAGAAAGCCAAGCCAGTGCAGCTCAAGAGGAGGCCTAAAGTGATGGCCTGAACTGAAAGGCAGTTCTCAATCAAGGAGGAGCAGGCCTCTGCTACAGCTGCAGGTCAGACACCTGTGTCACACTGAGGGTGCCTGGGACTAATCTTGGGGTCCTCTGACTTCAGGGTGAACGTGGCACAAAATAGGAAAAATGGAGCAGGAACAATGGAGTGGCCAGAAAGGAAATTACTTTTAATGAGAAATAAAAACAGGGATGATACCCTGAACACAGGACAGAACCAGAAACAAGGGAAAGGTGACAATATACAGTCTCAGGGTGGAACATTCTAGAAACAATGCCATGTATGGAATACAAGTAACCAATAGGGGTGTGGAACTTGGCCACATAACTACTCCATAGGCTCTTTGGAGGAGATCTCAGGCTTGCCTTCACTCAGACAAATGTTTCCCAGGGCTTGAAGCTAAGGCCTGGTTTGTTAGGGGAAAATTCTGGCTGACCATGTATCCTAGTCAGGCTGACTGCCACAACCTGCACCGTATCTGTGTTGGTCTTCGGTCCAGAGAGCCAAACTCCAGGCAGGAGTTTGAACTATTACTGCCAGGTGATGAACTCAGGTTCTTAACAGCTTAAGAAGCTTTCCTTCACAGTGGAAACTTGAAAATTAAATTTCTAAAATGCTTATGCTGTTACATTTTATTGCATACGTGAAATAAAAGCAATCAAAGTTGCTCTGAATTTTGAAAGAAAATATGGATGATATGTCCAACTGAGGGGCTAGAGGAGGGCCCTATCTAGGCATGCATCAACCAAGGCACTTTTAAGTTGTCATGAGAATGAGTCAAGGAGTCCTCGAGGCTTTGAGTTCTCAAACAGCAATGCTGGCAGTGAACCACTGTGTGTTGTGTCATTAGACCACCTTGGAGCTAGGACAGGCACAAGGATAGATCTGAATTAGTGAAGGATGACAGAATGGGAAGCTACTCTACTGTCAGGTCTTCTCTATACCTCACCTGCATATCTGGCCATCACTTCATTTAAGTATCTTCCCACCCCTTGGGCAATGCCTTATCTGTGATTACTCTATGACCACATTATCTTTTATCAGGCCCCACTCTGACTCACCCTGCCCTGTTCTGTACCTAGGAGCACGTTCCCAGGAAGTGGGGACTAGTCATCAGTTTCAGCACACCGAGGTTCAAAGGCATTGTTCACACCCGGGGTGAAATGCTCACAGTGCCTGGTTTAGACCTGTGCAGGAAAGAAACCACAAAGGCTGCTACCATTGTCAGCCTGAACTACACATTAAAACAGTCCCTAAAATCTCTAACATGGCTGTAAGGACTACATAATCTGTGGTTTGGAATTTTTCAGTGTTTCGGGTAATCACAGTCCTAATGCTTGTGCTGAAAAATATACATCATACAATATAATACAAGACTGAAATATTTTTTGAACAAAACCAAGCAGGAAAATAAAATTACTACGTATGTATAGGTATCTGCATATAGACATGCCTAAATTTGGCAGTGCGTGTTTGCAGATATGGCTTTTTCTCCCTATGTATGACTATACATTGAGACACAAGCAGCCAGTGTGTGTATATACTACATTTAGTTAAAAAATAAAGACTTCTATTCATATCTGCCTTTATAAATGCATAAATGTA